GCAGAACTACGGGGATACACCTGAGAGGAGAAATCAATTCGTGTACAAAAATGAACAACAAATGTAGGAAAATAAATAAATTCAGAGAGAAAAAAATCAGGATACTACTGTGTAACTTGCAGAGCTGCTATGAACATTAAATGAGACAGAAGATGTTAAATGCTTACCCGTTTCTGGCTAGAAAAGACTCTCACTCTATATAAACTCCTCTCTATTTCTTCTCCCCCTCTCCCTCCGCTATTAGGTTGCATCAGTTCTGATGCTGGGTCCTGAGATCTGCCCCATTTTATTTTTTTGTCCCCATCTTGGTGTTGGAGCCTAATCTTTCCAAATCTAATCACATGACATTGTCTGCCTAAAGTTTTGAAGGTGTTTGTAAATAACCTGGGAAACCTCATGGTTATTTTCCATCTTTTCCAATCCTCTGCATCCTCTTCACTGCATCCTGGCTTGAGGGATCCCATCCATAATTGTGACTTTACCTCATTTAGAGAAGGTTCTCAAGTCCTTTTCCTATCCTGACTCTTCAGTCTTTGCTCTCACTGTTCTAGATCGTAAGTGTTGAGAGGAAACTGTCTTATCTTATGTGATTGGCCATTTTGCAGATGTGGTCTGTGAATGCATATTAACATAACCTGTTTATTGATCAGCTAGTGGGTCCATGTCTTCACACCAGGATACAATCAATACAATACAGAAGGGAAAAGGTGGCTTGTTCCCTCAGGATTCTTTGTTCAAAGAGCGTCCAGTGCCATTTACGTGCATGGCAAAGGAATAAACAGGTGTCACTGAAAATAGAAAGTTATTGCCATTTAAATGCTATATCATCTTGATTTTTAATGCTATCAGTGGAACCAAGAAAAGCCACTGGCAGTGCTATTACATGGGCTTGGGGAATGGGGAGGAAGAAAGGAAGGAAAGAAAGGAGAAAGGGAGGAAGGGATGATGTGAAGTTACAGAGAACTTTGAAAAATAGAGGGGCAGGCGCAGTAGTAGTTCCAAATGGAGTAGTAATTGATTTCATTTACTTTGCTAAATTCCCTCGTTCCCTCCCTCCACCCCTCCCTCTGTCCTTCCTTCTCTCCTTCTCTCTTCTCTTCCTTCCCTTAAAAAAAACAGAAATAACTAAGATCACTTTAAAGACTTTTTTTAAAATTAATATATTTTTTTAAAGATTTATTTATTTATACAAGCACTGGGTACAGTCAGAGGCGCGGGAGGGTGAGAGAATTCACCAGAGCCAGAGCGGGGAACAGAACAGGCAGAGTGATGAAGTACACTGCTGAGGGGAGCAGCGGAGGGCAGGAGAGGGCTGCACGCCATTTTGGACCCTCGCCTGGTGGCCGGGGATCGAACCGGTGCTGCCAAGACTGCGGGCAGCTTCACAACTCAGCGCTCAACTGCTGCGCCACCGGGGAGGCCCTATTAATATTATTTAGTGGTGCATCTCAGGCTCTGTTTTCATCTGACTTGCCCACAGGCTCATAAAATGAAGGCACCTTCAGGCAGTGCCCACACTGAAGATTCCCATTAAAATCCACAATGATATTTGAGGAAAGCAATTTATTTTTAAAAAATTGCACTGAACCTTGAATATAGTTATACTGACAGTGAACAAAAGAGATGTGGCAGAAACCAGCCACTCTCAATCAATCAAGGAAATTTTGTCAGAAACTCCATCTTCTGTCACCCTCCGCAGCTCACCCCTCTTCCCCACCCAGTAGGAGCCAATCCATAAGAAGAAAGCAGATGTAGAGTAGAACACTGGTCACCAGGGTGGTGCAGACTGGGAACTCCCAAGTTTAGCAAAAAGGTGAGGTTGCTGTGGATCGCTCTAAAGAGACTCAGGCCTGCTTTAGTAAAGTCCCAGCTCACACGGCCAGGACCACAGGCAAAACCTCGAGAGACTGCCCTGTGACTAGGTCTGCAGCCGAGGCCTCTGCATTCAGCCTCTGGGGGGTTTTAGGAGCTGGTCATCAGGAGAAGCTGGAAAATAACACCAACACCCACAGTGTGTTCCTTGTGACTCGGTGGCCAGCAGGGACCCTGGGGACTTTCAGGCATCAGGGAACTAAAAGGGATATTGAAGTTCCAGAGGTTCTTGCGAAGACCTGAAATTGTCCAGAAGCACACCAAAGCTCTCTCAAATCAGATGATTCACTGGATAAGAAGTTTTGAAAGGCATCCTTTCCCACTGAAAATAAGTGAACACTGAGCATAAGGAAACCTAGGAGAAAAATAAGCCTGTGTTGTTGTTATAACTATGACTTATTCTCTAGGAAAACATAAGCTGAACATCCAACAATAAAGCATTTATCAAAAAAAGTAAGATTTCCTTGCATGGATCTATTAGAACACAGTAAATGTGTGGCTCATTTTTCTGTTGTGCAGTAAATATCTGATATGTGTCAGGCACTGTGCTGGGCACTGGAAGTACTGTGGTGAACGTGTCCCTGACCTCAGACTTCTGGGAAAAATAGATGGAAGACAGTTTCATGCAAACAAACAAAAAGCCATGTTTTGATGAGTACTCTGAAGAAAAACAAGGAGCTCAGATGGGCAATGTTCATGGCTGTTCTGGTGGTAAGAAAGGCTTTTTGAGGAAATAAGACATAGGAAATAGTGAAAAGCTGCCTTTGTAAGGTCAGAGGAAACATATCCCCAGGTGAAGAGAGATATGCAATGGCACTGAGGGAGGTCAGTTGCAAGAACTGAAAGAAAAGTGGTGTCACCGCGCCACAGTGGGTGTAGATGAGTCACAGTGGTGAGCTGGTCATGCCGGCCTCGTAGTTTGGATTTGAAGTGCAGGGGTTTCATAAAGGCAAGGCTGCCACCTTGTTTACATTTAGAAATATTGTTCTGGTTTCTGTGTGGAGAATGGATTGCTGTGGGGTATGTGTAAAAGCAGACAGAGCAGAGAGATGATAGTTGGAACTGGGGGTAGAAATAGGAAGAGGTGAGGTTGGACTTACATTGTGGCAGTGGAATGGAGAGAATTTGTTGTTGAATTAGATACAGGAGCTGAGATTATGGGAGCATATCAATCATTGTCCAACTAGGAAAATAGAAATCATTCTACGTATTTCAAAGAGAGGGAATTTTAACCAAAGGGATTAGTCACAAAAGAGTTGGAAAGGTTGGGGTGGGGGGCAGAAAGAAGACTGTGTGTGAAGCTAGAAATAGGCATCTTCAGGAAATAAGATCCCTCGAAGGTGGACAGATAGAAGGAAGGTGGTGATGTTATCAGCATCTAGGAGCTTCTGGCATTTGCCACCGTGGGAAGCTGTTGATGCTGTTACTGGAACTGCTGAAGTCTCCCAGAGCCCAGAGTGACTGGTTGCTGCCACAGCCATTGCCAGAAGCTTAATAAAAAATTGGGTCTCTTCTTCATTTCATCTACTTTCCCACTGGTGCTTCCCACCAGCAGGATTGAATTGGGCCAGCTGGCAAAGGAGTCTGAGAAATGCACATGGATTCCAGCCACTTCCAACACAGTAGTGCATACAGAATGGAGGGGGTGGCACTTAATTCCACCAAGCTGGTGATCAGCACATAGAAGAATAAAGATTTAAGAAAAATAATCTCATATCCTAAAAGTAAAATTTCTTTCTACTAAAGCAATATATGTCCAGTAGAGAAAATTAGAAAGTATAAGCAGTAGAACGTAAAAAACTTCCATATTCCCACTTATAGAAACAATCATCAATAACATCTTGCTCTCTGTCTTGCTCTCAGAAAGGAACTCTCATCCTTCAGTCTGTTTTGTAATCCACTTTATTTTGTAACCCATTTATTTATGCAATAAAACACTTGCTGGACATTTATTTTGTTCCAACTAGTTCCCATGTTGAAGATTTATGTCCTACCAACATTTTCCTATTATAAATGTAAAAAAGAAATTATTGCCTGAAAATGAATCTGCAGTTAAGAAAACAGCTCGTGAAGAATACAGTTGGAACCTCCAATTTGACTATTATGAGATTCTTTGCTTAAGTAGAAAGAGAAAACTAATTATTTTAAACATCAATAGGTCTTTTTCTCATCCTGTCTTTGTTTTGAGGGGAAAGAAAACACTCTCAGTAGAATTGAAGAGCTGGGAACATGCAGTTGGGAGGCGGGAGCCACTTAGCTACAGCCTCCTCTGCAGCCTCCTTGCACCCTGTCTGTGGTCCCCCACACTGTCAGATTTCTGACTGGGAGGTAGGTCATTGGGAATGTGCAGAAAGGGGCACCAAGGGACTAAGTGTCTTCGCGGGAGAGGCAGCTTATGGCAGCAGGGTGGCCATTTCTCTGGTGGTGTCTGTTAGAATGCGTTTGACTGCTAATAGCTGCAAAGTGTGACTTAAATTGGCTTTAAAATTAAGGAAATGGGTTATCTCCCATAACTGGAAGTCCAGAGGTAGGACAGGCTCCAGGAACAGTAAGATAAGCAGCTCAGTGATGTCATCAAGGTCCCAAGTTCTTTCAACACTCCGTTCCGCCTTCCTCAATGTTGGCTTCACCCTGAGGCTGGCGGCCTGCACGGTGACTCTGTGGTGGTCAGAGGCCACAGCACTGCCTGTTTCCTTTCTCCAGGTTCAGCAGGAAAGGAAAATAGACCTCTCCCTTCAATATAAATTCTTTTCAGTTCACATATACCAGCGGTTCTCCATAGTGCTGCACGTTTAAAATCACCTAGAGTGCTTAATAGTTATTGTCATTTAATTTTTATTAATTTGTTATTATGTAATATTGTTTATTTTCTTTTTTAAACTACTGATACCTAGGCTTGCTTTCTAGAAATATTCATATATTAGTCTAGGGTGGAGCCCAGGCATAGGTAGTTTCTAGAAGCTCCCAAGTAGTCTAATGTGTGACCAAGGTGGAGAGCAACTGAATGAGGCTGGATTAGGTCACCTGTCACCCCTAGACTAATAGTCACCAGGATACCAGGAACTGATTGTCTTAAAAAAGTGAATAACAAAGTGTGACTCTCTATTCCATATCTACCCCACACCCAGGCCCCAGCAGAAGCAGCTCCTGTGAACCTGCTGGAGATGGAAGCTATGGACCCTACCCAGACCCACTGAACATAAATTCCAGGTTTTGTTTTTTTTTTAAACAAACTTGGCAGATGTTTCTTCTGGATACTAACCAATCAGGCGCCTTATCTGGAGCTCAGAGCAGGTAAATATGTGAACTAAAGCAAGTTCTGTTAAAACAGTGGCCCTGGGGCCGCCAGAGCCCTCAGCACCCCTTCCTCCATATTAGGGCCAGAAGGAGGAAGGGAGGGATCAGTCACCTGCACTCCGGAGCCCCTGGCTGCACAGAGAGCCTCCCAATAGTGCACAAGGCCTCAACCCCGGGTTGCTGGGGAGGGAAAAAGGCATATTCTGTAGGTGTCCATTCCTTTGTCTCCTATGGAGTTCTGGAAGCTTTTGCAGGAGCTAAAGGGCTAAAAGGACTGACTTGGCTTATGTTTTCCTGAAAACATTATGAACTAATTTCAGTCACTGTACAATTTCAAGAGGATCCTGGAAAAGAAACATTCATTAGGTACAGACAAAGTGTATCTTAACATAATAAGGATTTCAGTTAATTATAATGTAGAAATATTGGCTCATAAATTGCGGCAAGTGTACAGAGTTTGTGTCAGATGTCAGTAGGGGAAACTGGATGTGGGTTGTCAAGTTTTCTGTAAATCTAAAACCATTCTGAAGTAACAAGGTTTTAAAGAAGTTACATTAAAATGTGAGATTTTAATGAATGGAAACATCTTTGGAAAAGGTTTTAAAAATTAAGTAATAAAAGGTGTTAAAAATTAACACCTTCCCTATGAAGACTCTGGTAGAGGACTATGGTTGCCTTGGTGGTGGGTGCGGTGTGGTAACACACATCTGAGGAGGTGTGAGCCTGGCTCTGAATCATATAAAGTGTTGTAAACCAATGTTACCTAAGTAAAAAAAAAATCAAAAATAAAATCTTCCATATTAAGATAAACTGAACACCACTATAGCCTTATGATCGATGCCAGGTTTTCAGCCAGAGAAAATGATTTTTAAACATTTTCAACTTAACAAAGACTGGATTGGATGATATTAATGACTATTCCTGAGAGGCTGCACTTTCCAGAATCTGCCCACAGCCAAAATTATCAAAGAACAAATGAGAGAGTCCTTAAACTCCATATGTTCAGAAATAATTAAGGGCCCATGTAGAAAGTCACTTTCTTTGCCATCTCCTTAGACCTGGAAAAAGGAGTAGGATGGCTCCACTCCACAGGGAAAGGGACATAATCAGATGCATCTCTAGACCCAATAGATAGCAGTGAGCTCAAGCATAAATTCCCCCCAGGCACTTTCCTCTTGTTTCACTGGCTCCATTTAAATTAAATGCACTTCCTGTATCCTGAGGTGTGAGCCACACAACCCAGTGGACTGACGCGTAGCTCTTTACTAAGAACTACACTCACTAGACTACACTGCTGGCTTTATGTGGGATTTCCAGAAACATTGGGTCATAATTGTAGTGGAGCAAGGAGCAAATCTTCATTTGTATATTGGAAGATTACTGTAGTCAACTAGACAATTTTTGGTAAGTTTTGCTTATCTTCCTTTTGCACCAGTTATCAATAGGTATAATAATTAAAATTGTCATTGCACCTGAGAGTTTTAATATTAAGAGTTGTAACAACAATTACAACAAGAAAAAAGATGTTTAGAGACTAAAACATTACCATGCCAAGCAATGGCTCAAAATAATTCCTCCCCCTGTTCTTACTACATTGTAATTGCTCAGATTTGGGCCAGCGTTGTTATATTCTCTCACTCTGTGACCTGGGACAGATTCTTTCACTGCTCTATGCCTCACTTTTTGTCATCTTCACAGTGGGGAATAACAATAGTACCTATTTCTTGGCCGTATCATAGGGGTTAATTCAAGTACTGCTTGTAACTCTTTTACCACAGTGCCCAGAATATGGTGTCACAAAAGTGTTTGATGTCAGTAAGTGAGATAACCCTTGCCCACATTATAGTCATTCAATGTCATGACAAACATCTTGATGAAATTTAATAACACAAAAAAAATATCAGCTACCAGTTAGGAGGGAGGGAGCCTCAGGCACAGTAGCTCGTTATTGGGAATAAAGAAATGTAGACAGTTGTCATCAAAAGTAAAAAAAAAAAAAAAGATGTGGGCCTCCCCGGTGGCACAGCGGTTGAGCGCTGGGTTTCGAAGCTGCCCGCAGCGTCTGCGGCGCCGGTTCGATCCCCCGGCTGCTCCCCGGCTACCAGAGGAGGGTCCCACATGGCGCGCAGACCTCTCCTGCCGCCCGCTGCTGCCCTCAGCAGTGTACTTCGGTCCTTCTGCCTGCTCTGCTCCCCGCTCTGGCTCTGGTGAATTCTCTCACCCTCCCGCGCTTCTGACTGTACCCAGTGCATGTATAAACAAAACAAACAAACAAACAAATAAATAAATAAAGCATGCCTCTATAAAAAAAAAAAAGATGTGATGGAACTCTCCCATATTGTTGATGTGAACATAAAATGGTGCAGTTGCTATGGAAAGCAACAGTTCCTCAAAAAGTTTAATAAAGAATTACCATATGACTCAGCAATTCCTAGACATATACCCCAAAGAACTGAAAAGAGGTACTGAACTATTTCTTCACACTTGCTCACAGCAGCATTATTCACAATAACCAAAGGATGGAAACAACCAAATGTCTGTCAGCTGATGAATGGATCAACAAACGCAGTATCTCCATATAATGGACGGTTATTCATCCACAAAAGGTGCTAATATTTGGAAGTACTAATGCAAGCACAACATGGATAAATCTGGGGAATATCATGTTAAGTGAAAGAAGCCGGCAATTTCCTATGAATTCTACTTATAAGGTAAATCCACATTGACTGGAAGCAGATTGGTGGTTGAAAGGAACTAGAAGAAGGTGGGGGTGGGGATTAACTCCTTTGTGGAGACAGACCTTGCTGTTGGAGTGGAGAAATGTTTTGGAATTGGTGCTGGTTGCACAATATTGTGATTGTATAAGTGCCGCTGAATTACTCACCATTTTGGGGTGAATTTTATCTCAGTAAAAATACATACACAGATAATTTAGGTCTCTGATCTGGTAGAGAAGACAGAGCATTCCAGGCTTTTTCCACCCACCAGAGACCCTTTACTTAAAAAAGTCTCCTAATGCCCAGCCCCTCTGGGCAGTGATTGCCTCATCTGTAGAAAAATGAAGTTGGGCTAGGTGAGCACCAGAATCCCTCCATTTCCAACATATGGGCAAAGAAACTCAAGATCCTTCTTTTTCCGCCTCTCATCCACATGCTTGAAAACACCACCATCTGTACTGCAGATGTACCAGAAGACAATGTTGTAATTAAATTACAGAGAAATCAATTTGTTTTAGTTATTAATATGAAAAGTATTTTAGTATTCATTATTTTAATGACAGAAATTAATAGACAAATAACTAAAACAAGTGCACATTAACAATTAGCTTGGAGTTTGCCACTCTGATGCTCAGACTCCTGATGATCAGGGTGGTGCTTGCGCTACCCAGCCTGTGTACAACCCTCTGTGTGATCACACACTGTGCTTGCCTGTCAGTCTCCCAGCTCTCGGGCCCCTTTGCCAAGTGCAGCAACCCCAGGGTGAGTGGGAGCCCCTGGTTGATGAACAGGTACCCTTGCCAAGATGGAGGGCAGCAAGGAACTGCGTATCCTCCAACATGCCCACACTTTTGCCATATCATCAAGCAGTTTATCATGCCACCAATGACTAGAACTTGCTTATAGGCTATTGCTGTAGTGATGACCAGGCTAGTAAGTGCTGCATGTAAAATTATTGAAACATAATTTGAACAGGTAAGCCTAATTTACCCAGTCCTGGGATTTAAAGTCCTGGATCAAGTGCTTATTGTGGAAGTAGATATGTCATTTTCTGTCTTTTTTGACCGCTACTTGCTGCTGCAGATTTCTGGTCCCCTGTAAATTCCTTCCTAAATTCCTTCTCAGAAGTGTTAGTTGTATCTGCAAAGAATCAAATAGAACAATTTCCGCCAATGATTATCTGTCATTTCCCCACCTTTTAATTTGGAGGCGGAGGATTAATTCTGAGACACAGCCCAAAGTTGCTAAAGTCATAAGCTGCTGTCTACCAGCAACCACATTCAGGCCATCTCAGATTTGCTTCTTCTGTTTACCCCATTATCTATAATGCCTCTGGAGGAGATCCCTGGAAGGAAGTGGGAGAAGGGCCTTCCTCCCTTTCAGTATTGTGTTTCCATTTCTCTCCTTGCTGGTTTTCAGGCCTCCAGCTTGCAGGAAGGTACCATCCTCTATGGCTGGATAGGGAGACAAAGCCTAAAGATCAGTGTCCTGCAGGGTGCCTAGCCGCCCCCTCCACTGGGGTTTTCTTCTGGGCCGGGCTGATCTGCCTGTCTTGCAGGGAATTCTCTTCAGGGGAGGTCTCCCAATGCTCTCAGCAAATAGACCTTCTATGGAGGCTTCTACACCCGCTAGAATCCCATGTAGAGGCTGTCCTCCCTCAGGGTCAGATAACAGGTTCTCAGTCATCCTTAGGTACCTACTATGTGCTAGATGCTGGGAGTGCAAGGATAATGGGCTCCTGTCATCATGGAGCTGCTGTAAGAATTTAGACTACAGCAACTTCAGTCCTGGCCAGTTAAACCAGTTGGTGCTTATGCTGCTCAATCTTGGTAGCATTTTGGTCGAGAACCTCTTCTCGATGTTATTAGAAGTTTCATCAAAGTGTCTTACTGATGTCTCATCCTGAACGTTCCTCAGGTTGTGACGACCACGTGTCTCTGCTGTGCTTCCTCCTGCAGCAGTGGGTGACATTCCTGTTCTACTCGGTTCTTGGCCAGGACTTTTCTCCATTTCTTTCATATTTCTCTCCACAACTCTCCCCTCCCCCCTCCCTTCCCCTCTCCCCTCCCCTCCCCTCCCCCCCATGCAGAGAGGAGAGGACTATGGGAAGGAGAATAAAGGTGAACAAGCTGTAGAGGATTTTGTGCAAAATAAACAATACCTGTAAAACCTGTATTCTCTTGCTTAACTTAAGTGAAGAACTCTAGTGCAGACTAATGCAAAAATGAAATATGGCTATGGCTTTGTGTGTGATAGTGAACTTTCCTCATCTCCCCCTCTACCCGGATTCTGATGTCTGGTGTTGGGTAAGAAAACAAAAATTTAAAAGAAATCAGCTGACCTTTGAGAACTAAACACGTGATGCTCAACCCTCCTTGTCAGTGCAACTTTTTGTAGGGAAAAGCGAGGCGAGAGACCTAGAATATAGTCTTATTTTTTGCAAGACGAACCTGTATTGACTAATGTGTAATTAATTTTGAAGGCAGACTTTCAGAACATCGTATTTTAGTAAGATGCTTGAAAGATAAGTGTATGAAAACATCCAGCAAAACAAAACACAGTATTTTCGCCGATCAGCTATGGCCCAGCATTTCTTTATTGTGCGTATTCCACCTCACTGAGCACCTAGTAAGGGTTATGGGAATGTTTGTTAATTTTTGTTAAGACTGAATTTCTCCCACTCTACCTGTGGCTTGAACCTCTTGACCTGGGTCAAAAACAGCAGAGGAAATGGAAACGAGAAATTGCATTCGGTAAGCTAGGAGATCACTGTTTAATATAAGTGTGTGTGTGTTTGTGTGTGTGTTCCTGGGTTTATTATTTTATTCAAAAGCCCAGAATGTGACGGTAAACTGTGCTGTTAATTCCATTTACATTTTTAGAATTGGGATCCAGGTTTTCAAGTTTGTTATGGACTTTTACGCAAATCGAGATGCAAATGCAAGCATTCTAAAAATTCCATCTGTTCTCCAGCCCCTCCCCTGGTCACAATCCACTGAGGCTCGTGCCTGCAGGCCCAGCTACGATGCCGAGAGGTAAGCCCAGAGCGGGCGGCAGACGGGAGGGCAGGGCCGTGGTGGAGGCGGTCCCAGGGCGGAGCCTGGGCGGGGCCCGTGACGCGCCGAGCCGGCCCGGTCTCGGGCTGGACCTCAGCCTCTCCCCGCCGGGGCCGCCGCCGCGCCAGTGGTGGCTCCGCATCTCCAAAGCGGGCCTCCCGACTCCTCGCTGGGTCAGTCCGGCGTTGGGTCGTGGAGCTCCGCACCACTCGCGCTGCCCCCTGAACTGGATCCGTCTTCCCCAGAGTTGCAAATAACTTTCCCTACTTCCCTGCGCCGCGGCGCTGCGGACCGTGGCCGCCGCAGGTAGCTGAAGCCGGGGCCAAACTCCCAGCAGCGCGGCGCGCGCGCGTAGTTCGCTACCTCTCCGGTTGCGCGCTGGGGGTCCCCGAGCTCGGCTCTGCGGGCGCGATGCCCCTGGGACACATCATGAGGTTGGATCTGGAGAAAATCGCCCTGGAGTACATCGTGCCCTGTCTGCACGAGGTCGGCTTCTGCTACCTGGACAACTTCCTGGGCGAGGTGGTGGGCGACTGCGTCCTGGAGCGCGTCAAGCAACTGCACTGCAACGGGGCCCTGCGGGACGGCCAGCTGGCCGGGCCGCGCGCCGGAGTCTCCAAGCGGCACCTGCGGGGCGACCAGATCACGTGGATCGGGGGCAACGAGGAAGGCTGCGAGGCCATCAGCTTTCTCCTCTCCCTCATCGACAGGCTGGTCCTGTACTGCGGGAGTCGGCTGGGCAAATACTACGTCAAGGAGAGGTCCAAGGTAGGACGCTCCCCAACGAACGCCCTGCTGCTGCTTGGGCTCGCGGGGACCGTGGACTTTCAGAGTCCCTTGTCTGTCGCCCTCGCAGGGTTGAAAGTGAGCTTTAGTTTTTAACCGAGCTCAGCCTGGTCTCCCTCCTCTGCCCCCCACCCCCCTCCTCTGAGCGAGTATCCATGCTGAGGGCCTCAGGTGTGTAACTATAATGACCTTTGTTAACTTTGAGATTATGGCTCTGGTGGGTGGTACATGCCGGACGACACGCTGGATTTTGGATCTGTTTTTAAGACTTGGAGGCTCAAAAGTCCAAACGGGCCACAGCTTCTTAGAAATATTTTGTATGAGCTGAGACACTGCAGATGAATGTGTGATCTTAAATGTCTAAAGTCCCCTAATATTGCCCTCCATTTGTGTTTGGAAGGGATTCCTAAAAAACGCATGCTTAAAATATTCTGGAGACAGTTGGGATTTTGCAACTGGGGCAGTTGGTTTGTGGAGTTTGGCAGGTGTGGGAAGAGTTTGACCTGTGAAGGGGTAATTCTACTCTTCATTTTCCAGTGCTGTCCTTGGTTGGTGCACCCAGGACACTGTTAGGCCATCTACTACTCCACTGTGAAATTTCTTTCTTGGTGCTGAGCTCTACCTTCCCTCTTCTAAGTAGCAGTTGATGGGGAAAGCCACTCAAAACAACAAATTAAGAGATCTGGAGAGAGTCATCAAGGACCTTTGAAAAGCAACCAGGTTTTTTGTTCAGATAGACAGAAGTAATTCCCTGGGTGGTGATTTATCGTGAAAACATTTTGCAGGCAAATTGGTAGAAATATGGGTGTAGTACCCTAGTGTCAGTACTTATTATTGGCTAGTCTAGTTACACAGTCTTTCTACAAATTATAATCCAGCTAGTTCTACTGGCAATGCTGAGAGATTTGCATGAAACTATAGAAAACTTTTACTTGAACACTGAAGCAAAGCATGCTGGCTTCTCTGCGAAGGAAGGCAAACACTCACCTGTGACCATTCTTGAACAATACATGTAGTGTTTCTCAATTTAAGATTGATCCTGTGATAAAACTTATCACTGTTGTCACCTTTGTCTATCCCATAAGCTGAGAACAACACTCTTAATAAAGGGCAAGAGGTGAAGACTAGAAATGTGTAGAAATGAAGGTGGGTGAGTGGTTTGGGTGAGAAGTAGATTACTGTATACATTTTAAGTCAGGAGGTCATAAGTAGAATATTTGAAAGCATCCTTACTCGTCAGGCACAAATAAAGTAAATCATTAATCATACACTAATAAATAAATCTTACAAGATTTATTTTTTAAATTTTGCTGTTTTTTTTTAGATTTTACTTTAATTTAGGGAAAATTCAGAGTTAGCTGGATTCTGTAGAAGATTGACGTTAACGTGTTTCTTTACTCTTCCATCATTTTGGTGGTGGATTAGAATGCCATTTGTCTTGATTAGTTTTGTTTTTGCAGTAAATGACCTTGCCTGCTGGAGGTGGGGGTAGGGAAGGGGGAAGGGTTAGCCTCAGACTTGCAGAGGGACTTGTAGCTTCAACTTGGAAGAGCAGATGGCCTCTTATCAGTGGTTTGAAAGTGTGTTTTAAACTTAGGTGTTAGGAATTTCTCCCCTAGCATTCTAGGGACAGAATTTGTCCCAGGGATGTCAGAATTGATAAGTAGAAAGAGTCATTAACCTATTAGAAAGCTAAGTAATTTTATTTAACTTTGTCTTCAGGGACAGTGGTAGGATTTTAGGCACGATTAGAGAAATTGAATGTAAAGCGCTATGTATACATCTCGATAAGGAGGAGGGGATATGATTCTTTAGTTACGGGTTATCTTCTGGGCAGGACGAATAACTTCTCAGCTAACCCTATGAGAAGGAGATTGTGAATTGGAAAAGAAAATTCACTTCTATCCACTGAAGAGACATCTTCTTATACCTACATTCTAGCTTTCCTTTGACTGTTTTGGCATAAAGCTCTTCATTCCTGCCTTTTAGAAAAATCACTTCTAGATTGAGATGATCTCTGGCCAACTAAAACCAAATGCAAACCAGGCTTGAGCAATCAATTATTAGAGTAAAAAAAAAGTTGGATTTGCTTGTGTAAGGACGTTTCCTTAGTAATGTCTTGTGACTTCCAGTCTGTTGAAGATCATTTTTAAAGCATTGTAGAACCATTCTATTTCTACTTGATTTATATTAGTTTCACTTTAATTTAACCTTTTTTATTTCTCTTCCTTCAACTAAATGCCTTACACTCTGTGCTGCTTCCCAAAGTGGTGCTATAGACCCAGTTTTCTGCTGCATCTTCAGGCAGGTTTTCAGTAAAATCTAAACCTTTAAAAGGTAGAATTTGTACATTTGCTTTTAAAATTCATTAGTAGCTTATTATTATGGAAATTTTCAAGTATGTAAATGGTGAGAGACCTATATATGAGCCTCCCTCATTCATTTTCAATAATTGCCAACAATTATGTATATTTTAGATCCATTGTTTTTAGGTACTTTAAATTTCTTAGGATTATGCTTATTAATGCATTTCCCTAATTAACACCCCCCCTTACACTTTTAAGCTCATCAACTAATTTAATAATGCCCTTTATCTCAATGAAGCAATAGCAAAGTCTTTGGGAATAAAATGTGCTCGACCTAAAATTGAAATTGAGGAAGAGTATGGAAAGACATTAAAGGGTTCCCCCTCTCTGCCAAAGAAGTTGTAAAGGGTCAGAATTTATTTAACTCCACTTTGTTGGAGAAAAATCTCAGGGTGCTGAAGACCCTTTGGAGACAGGGTTGCTTACAGTGTACTATAGCAGTATGGCGCCCCCTAACTTCAAGTATGATCATTGCTTTCAGGCTATTAGAAGATTTATCTGCGACTCCTCTTAGGAGAATTTAGACCCTATCCAAGATAAATATTGGTCATAATTTGGTCCTTTTGTTTTGGCTGCCTAAATCCTTGAAAATGGCTGTTTTCCAGAAAACATGTAATATATAGAACCAAAAGTCCTGCTTGAAGCATCTCACTGTAGAGTCACTAGGAAGTAGGGAATAATAACAGCTACCTTTTTTATTGAGCAGTTTGCTCTGTTTGGCACTGTGCTAAGCACTTTATAAACCCTTAATCTTACTTAGTCTTCAGAATGACAGTTTTCAGCAGAGTGATTAAATTATTTACCCAAAGTTGCAAAGTCATTGGTAAGAAGCAATTTATCATAGGGGTTAGGGGCTTAGAGTTGGTATTACTAACCTTACGGCCGTAGGTAAGTTGCTTAGCTTTCAGCATGTGAAACATGAGGCATAATAATGCCTTAAAGCTTTTTGGGTAAGGGGCATTTAATAACATAATATACATAAAATTCCTAGCAACATTTTGAAGCTTCGTCAATGTGATAAGGCTCTATGTGGAGATTTGGGCTTCTAACTCAGATCTGTCTGACTCCAGAGTTTGTGGTCTTGATTATTATGCCCCTATGCTTTGGAGTTTTCTCTTCTTGAGGGACACTGTGCAGGGGCTGGGGACCCAAAAGTGAATAGACATATAACTTAGTTTACATATACCTGTAGGGTCTTCTGGTTCACACCTGATTAATTCTAAAAAACTTAACTTCCCCACCAAATCAAACATTAAAAGTAGGTCAGCTAAGTACATTTGAAGAAGAAAATGGAATGCTGTGCAGTTTTCCATTATTTACAGAAAATGTATTTGTTAACAAATACTGTTAGGATCCCTGACTGGAGTAGTTCTGGATGTTGGGGTTTTGGGGGTTGCATTGTGAGCTGACAGTTCAGTTCTTCCCTGAAGACAATGGAGAGGAATGATGACATAGCAGTAAGTTATGCATCAAAGAATATGTGTTGCAAAGTGATCTTTTTCCCTTTGCTGTTTAGCAATAACAGTCCCCCGCCCCTTCCCCCCCCCCCACCCATGCATGCACTGTCAGGCATATCCATCACTCAGGGGAGCTTATCATAGTTGCAAGTTACTCTAAGCAAAACACGGACAGTGTATTTTGAAGATCATAGTCTCTCTCAGACCCAAGTGCAGGAAATGCAGTCAGGGCTCACAGAAGGCTGGAGCCAGAAGCTGGAACCAGAAAGTCCTTGACATCCTGGTCAACTGACGTGTTCATTCTTTTCTCTGGAGCTTTATTGCCTTCACCAATGCTTCTCCTCTTGTGCTCTTTATTTCTCCCCCTCTACTCTCAGCCCAGCTTTTGCTGCTTTTATAATGTATAAGGCTCAAGATAGCTGCCCCACTTCAGCCTTAGTTGGAGATAACAGAGACTTGAACATTTCGGAATCCCTGTTTTCATCCCTTGGGAGAAAGTCTGATGGCCTCACATTGGCTGTGGGGATCTATGTAGAATCTTAGGTCACAAATATGGTTGTGAGGATCCAGAAGAGGGGCCTTAGAGCACTGAGTTTGAGGCTAGCCCCCATCAGTGGTGTCTCTGCAATTAAAAATGTGAGAATGAGATAGTTTGGGGGGGATGAATTTGAAACACTGGAATATATTTCTGTAAGGATATGAGGGATTCTTATAAAAGGTTCTATTTAAAAGGTATTTAAAAATAACTTAGCTCCTGGAGGAAGGAAATTAATCCAAGAAAATAATTTACAGAGTACAGAATCAGTGACAGTGAAGCAGTTCTCTCCACTGGGTGAGCTTTTCATGATGTCCTTTGTCTATTTTATTGAATGGCAGGTGGGAACGATGAGGATGGTAGCAGTGAATTTGTGTGACTTACTTCATCATATATTTTGTTCCATTTGGGCCACTGGCCATTCTACCACAAACTTATCTGCTTGCAGTGAATCAGGAAGTCAGGGTATCAATTTAATTTATTCATTCACAAATCATTAAATACCTTATACTGTGGTAGATGTGTGTGTGTGAATGAGGGGAGGGAGGTGGAAAGTGATTATAAAACCACCTGAAGAAGTAAACTGAAAGCTGAGTGGTGTGAAATAATTGTCGCCAACTTTGC